ACCGTCTGGGAAGGCGGCGTGAACTGAGTTTTTGGCCTCGCTGGAGAGCTTTGGAGGTAGACTAATCTGGGCATTATCTGTTACTTTCCAGGCCTTCGGGAAGTTGTTTTTTCAATACCGCCTTTTTTTTTTAAACAAAACGAGATTTTTTCGTGCTCCCTTGCCGATCTTTTCAAGGGCCTTTGCAGGCTGATTGTAGAGGGGGAAAGGCTGCCAAATGCACAAAGTCAACAGTGAAAAGGGGGTCTGTTTGTTTTGCTAAAGTGATCCAGTTCTAGTAATCCGAAGGGTTTCATTGTTACAAAAGGCAGTTTCCGAAACTGTAGTTTGCAAGTTGATACTGTCCTTTAAAGATCTCATAAACAGTTGTCCAAAGATTATTTTTATCTAAGTTTTTTTTTTTTTTACTGTAATACTTGTTTTTAACAGTGTTTTAAAAACTGGAGATAGGAGGTAACTTCTTCGTAGACAAATATGTTTTCTTTCAAAGATTAGATATTACTAAAATTGTCCTAAAAGGGTAAAAATAGTATTTGTTACTTTGTCAGTGACAACACAGACTAATATTAGAATCAGATCTGGAGCTAGTGATAACCACTCTTTGTTTGACACACACGCTTTTTAGAAATAAACTAACACTTAAGGTCTGTCATTTGTTTGAAAATGAGCCTGAATTTGCATCCGAAGGAGTTAACAGCTATAGAAATGTTGCTGAATCGACGTGCTTGGCACGGAACAGGGATGCTGTGGCGCTCATACACCGCCTCCAAAGTCCCCTGAAGTCTCTTGAAATCCAATGCACTCTGATGGGTTTCAAATGTGACCCTAAAATGGAAGCCCGGCCCTACGTCAGTGGCCACCCAGATCCTATTCCTGCCTCAGGATTAATCTTTGAATATGTTGTAACTCCAGTTCCTGTACCAGCCACTGTCTCCCTGTAAGATACTCAAATGTCCTCATCATCCTATAGACAACATTCCACCAAATGCTTATAGTTTATATATATACACATATATTTTAGGGGGACAATACTTGCAGTCAATGATCTTACTTAAGTGTAACTAAAGGAAGAATTTAACCTACTAACCTTTCCCCCGTTGACATTTAGAGACTCCAAAAATGTGAGTCTAGACTTGCATGGAAGAAATGTATCAAGCGTTTTGAAGTTCTTCAGTGCTAGTCAGAAATCG